AATAATATTAATAACAAAAAGCATCATTCCGATAGGATGTCACGGCGACAAGATGCGAGAGAGAGAGAGAGAGACGACGGGGAAAAAGTGAGATTTTCGAGAGCGAGCGTCGATGTCTCGCCGTACGCGACATTTCACTCAGTCTCAAGTGTTTGTCTTACAATTAGGATCTGGATTTGTGTTTGGCCTCTTCACGCCCGCCTACTCAATTTAACCGTGACACGCGCCGCCACGGAAACGGCTCTTGCCGCCGTTTCGCGGCCACTAACGTCGAACATACAGCACGTGTCCGCGCCACGTGCCGCCCTTAACCTGACACCTAATTGAGTGACGAATTGAAATCGCATCGAATTGACAGGCGGAGAACGAGCTTGCCTTCGGCAATATTCGCGACATTTGCTTCGAAGAGACTGGATTTACAAATTAAATCTCGGGAAAAATTTTAATATATATTGAGTCACATTAAATTTTCTCAAATAGTTCTATCTATTTTGACAATGTTTTAATTGTGGTTTAACTTAAGAAAACTTTTGTCTGAATTCTCAAACAAAATTTTGTCAAATTAAATGAATCGCAAATATCGCGATTTGGCGAGTGTTTCGGATAAAATATTTAAGACAGAAATGACACCGCCATGAGCCTTTTCCAAGCCTGACAACGCATCTTTTAATGTTACACGACAGATACATTACGTCTCGCGGCTTCGAGAAGCGCGTATGGCCCCCGGGATCACAATCACTTGTTCCGTCGCTCCCCCTCGATTGACAATCGGCGGGAGGAAATCGACAACGGTGTCTTTATTCATGCGCCGCGACGCCGCCGTCGCCGCGACGAGTAGGAGGAAGTTAAGTGGATGGGCAATTTCTCTGCAACAACAAATAGTGGCTCGGATGGGAAAAGGGCGGTGGCCATGTGACGCGATTCCCACGTATCTCGCTGCATGCCACGAGTCCTGGGGAGAGTCCTACGTTGGCTGCGTACCCCTTCTCGTTTCTTCGGCAAACGCTTCTGCCTGAAGCGTTCTTTCTCGCCGATCAGAGACTACTCTCGCCTGCACGATTGCATAACAAAATAAACGTCGACGCGCGACTGAAATAAACGCCTGTCGAGCGACACGGAACAGTCCTTTCCGTCCACGCGTCATCGTCGACGAACATCAGGTAAATTAATTCACGACCTTCCAATAGCCACAAAATCTGATTATCAATTCCTTGTACGCGAGGGTGAGAATGTGACGTTAGATTAGGCACGTCAAAGCACGTCTGCAGATGCCGATGATGATGAGACTATAAATCTTGCCAGAATCGCGAAATTATCCATCAGAATTCGTGATATCAGGAGGGTCGACGAGTCGCAATATCGTGGTCGCGGCTAATAAACAAGGAGTTTGCTTCAACAAATGGACTACAAAAGCGAATGTCTCCGACGGCACGAGTCGTCACGCTCTATTGCTTCCTATTCCCTTCATCCGCGTCCTTTGTTTCTATTTCCGTCTATAGACCACGCCGTCCTCCAACCCCGACGGCGTCGTTCTCGCATCGTTGTTCCTCTCGCGCGTTCGGCGGCTTTTCGTGTAACGCGGATACACGCCTACAACGGATAGAGGCAGCCGCTGGACGTAGGTACGTAGGGACCTAACGGACAGATCCGTGTTTCCATGGAAACCCACCTATCTGCGTCGGTTGGACCTATACTGCCTGCTGCCACCCTGATAAGCGGCTTACTCTCATGGTTCTCTCCACTCTTCTTCGCCGAAGCATCCCCCGACCCCCTCCAACCACTCCATCTCCTCGACACTCTGCCCCCCGGCACCCCGTGTCTCCCGCCGCCGGGGGGGCCCCTTTCGAGCGATGGGTGAAAGGGAGCGAAACGGCGAAAGACGAACGGGAAAGAGAGGAGAGACGATGCTGCTTTTCGCCGAATCGTGCCGCTAAAGGAAAGCGACGCGAGAGCATGCTCTCTCTCTGTCACACTGTCTTTCCTCTCTCCACCTTGTTCCACTCTATATTCCATTTCTCGCTCCGTCTCTCTTTCTCCTCCTCTTTGAATAGCACACCCTCATCTCTGCCCTTCTGCCGCGATCTCTTTTCGTCTACGCACACCCTGTGGCACACTGGAAAATTTATGCAGTCAATTACTGAGTCGGCAACACGACCTTTCGAGAATGGACACACGCAGCAAATTCTCCCCAATGTCGTTGCCCCCTTGTCCCTCTCTTCTTCCCTGGCGAACGGGAAAATTCGGAGGATCGGCCCATTGCGGCCCATTGCGGCCCGCTGCGACCGATTTTTCGAATTTTCCTGTTTTACTGGGGGCTTGAGGAATGGTCAGCCTCTCCGCAGGAGAACATTCCAGGGGCTTGACCACAAGAACGATTCGCGATTACTCTTTTCGTCGGGGATTTCTCAAATGTCATGCCGATATCGCGCAAAACTAGTCCGTGTTTTCTGAAGCGGACAAAGTACATTTCTCCGATCGAAAAGTCTATTGGGAAATCGACATCTAAAATGTGACGCGTATTTCATAACAAATGCACAACATGTGCACAATTATGTCCAAATCGTTTCTTCTATATATTCATTTGGAAACTTAAAACATAGAAGAACGGTGCATCCGCATGCGTGTTTCTCAACACATGTAACGAGAGCTATAGTTGGGAAGCCCCGAGATTGCCCGGCATTCATATGGCTTCAGTCGATGCATCGATTTGCATGGTAATCAATAACGGCGAATATGGCATCCACGTGAAATACTCTTACAGCACACCTAATGACGTTAAAATGCTAAATTATTTAACGCACTAATAAATATAATATACTTAACTAATAACAGAGTCGTCGTTCTTCATCCACACGCAATACCGAGAGAGCAAAAAAAGAGTTTGAGCAATGACGAATTGAGCAATACTAGAGGAAGAATATAAGAGAGACACAAGATAAAAAAAAGAGGGATGAACTTTGTATATAGACACAATAGATTAGACAAAAACTTTTTCCGCATCGAATGCATTTTAAATCATCAAGTGAGCAATTCGCGTCAAATTTTCTTCAAAAGTAAAAATATTTACTTTCAGTATGCGTTAAATATCAATTTATTAAAAGAGAAAAATAGGGCTGACAAAATATCAAGATTTAACGACGTGCAAAAATTGAGACGTGGAAAAATTAATTTCAGAAACAAAAATTTATCATTTTTATATTTATTGATACAGTGCACATTCAAAATTTAATGTGCTGAATTTAATTGCGAGAATGTTTGTTATCAACCGATCCTCCAAATCCTTACGCCTTTGAATCTGTTACAAACGAATTGGAAGCGTGGTTGAAACCTTGCGGCTTATTTGATGCATGAAAGTGATTGAAAATTATTCTGCGTTAGAAAACGGAAAAGTTACAATTTCCAGTTACAATTTCCTCTCTTAAGCGCGGGGAGATTATCCGACGGCGTTTGTTGAACGAATACGACGCGAAATCTGTCACACCGAGTTGTAACGCCGAGATCGCGGAGATTAAACGTTTCGTCTTTTATTTCAGTGGATTAACCACCACCAGCTAGATCGATCACCATCGGAAATCTCGCTCGCCTTTTCCCCGTTTTTTTTCCCCGCGGTATTTCACGGTTCATGTAGCGTTCCCGCGCGAAAGGCGCTGTTTTCAGAACAATATTAAACGACGCGGCTAATAAACGCGGATATCGAGAACGGTACCGCTGTCGCCACCTCACGATTACGTGAAAACTTTTCCGTGCATGCACATCAATATCGAACGAATGCGAATCCCTTGCTATTACGACCCATCCCGAACACATATACATGTATATATTCCGCATTAAATCTCATTATTGCCGATAACCTGTGACCAGTCCATTATTCTCGAACAAGAACGTACTGCAATTCCATTTTCCATTTTTCCAATATCAAGCATGACATCCCGCAATTATGTTTAAATTAATTACTATAATAAATTTATTAAAAAATGAATTCGCTCTCTCCAGCTCCAGCTCAGAAACTTTGATTCAGTTATTATTTAAATGTCTATGATTTGTGACTATTCAATATCAATCTCAATTCTAAATAATGTAGATGCAGTTTGATACCTTTAATTTTATATTTCAAAATTTCATCGTAGATTTTATCGCGGTATTGGATGATGTAATTTTAGTGAATTCAATTTTCAGTACCATAGATGCAAAAATTACTACTACTCGAAATCATCGCGATGTGGTATATCGCAAACAATACCACGTAAATAAAATTTGGATTAAAGTTTCGTTCACAATTATTTGTTTTATCGACAATTGATATTTGTTTTATTAACAATCGTCATCATTTAATAAATATAATAAATTTTTCATAAAAATTTGTAATCCGAGCTTTCATCGGAAGCAGATAGATTTTGGCTAAAAAAATTCTAATTTTCGTCGATTATCGCTCAAGTGATTATTGCAAATAGAACGACGAATGCTATTTGCGTATCTAAGCAGCGAAATTTGAAATTCATCTTAGAAGGAAATGATATTTACCTTGTGGAAATGCGGCCGCCAGTCCGTGTTCGAGCGCATGGTGCGTATGGGCGTGTGGGGTAAGAGCGAAATGCGACGGCAATCCAGGATGCGTACCGGGATGCGGATGAGAATGTGGATGCGGATGAGTGCCGATCCCCATCGGATGACCGTGTGGATGGTATTGATGAGGATTCCCGGTCGAGGCGCAAGTCGCGCCCGCCGCCTTCAGGTAGCCCGCCATGTTCAAGCAGTCCGCGATGCGAGAAACCAATTCACCCGCCACCGCGGCGTTGTTATCACGCTTTCTTATCGCGTGACTATCTCTGCTTTGCTCGCCCAGCCACCAGCCGTTCACCACCCGATGGACGGCGTCGTTTGCGTACAATAATGATGGCCTCGCGCTGTATTCAGCGCCGACCTCCCTTAGTCTTGGCGCCGGTTCTTTCGGCGCCGTTGCACCGCTGCACGGATACTTCTCCGCCTGTAAAAGATTTAACATTTGACTTTTAAAATTTCACGTGATTTCGATTCTGCAATTCCAATCTTATATTATATTATTTGTAAATGACAATGAATTGATTCAATTTTTCATAGAAATCTTTAAATCTCTAAACGGTTATAACAGTAATATTTGGAAATAGAAATGAAACTTTTAGCAAAATTTCAATTTTTAAATGAAAATTTTTTAAGATACCACAGATTAAATTTCAAATAGAAAATTTATCAAAAATTACGAAACTGTCCAAAATTTTTGATCCTTAAGGAAATCTTAATCTTCAAAATATCAAAATTCTTTTAAAATTGATTTAATATTTAATATTTAATGAAACACTTTAAGAAAAAGAAATTGGAAACTTTAAGTTTTTTCCAAATTTAGGAAGATAAAACTAATTTTATAAACATATCTTAAAGTATATGACTTTTTTTCTATCGTTTTTAAAATAATGCTGCATATTGTAACGTATATTACTTAACAATATGTCTATTTCCGATCAACAAAAATTTTAAAAATAACTGATCGATTTGATAGTTTGTCAAAAAATTTAGAGACTGTACTGATGATTTTTTTAAAACATAATAAAAGAGCTATAATTTATAATATAATTAGACAGAATTTCGTTTGTTCCAATACTATTAATTCAAATTTATTTCATTATGGAAGATTATTTTAGCATCATCTGCTAAAAATATTTTATCTGAGATTTTTCTATAAAAATATGTCGCGAAAAAGCTAAACAATAGAAATTGAATTTACGAGTATCCTGGAATATTGATAGAATGAATAACGAATAAACAGTGAATACGAATTTATAAAAATAAAATGTATATTATACAGACTCATAAAATGCATAATAAATATAAAAAATAATTTCAAATAAATTCTACATTGTTTGTTCGCTATACATATTTCCATCTTTAGAAATATGCAATATATAAAATATGCAATATATAAAAAAAAATCTGTTAAAATAATCAATATAACATTTATTAAAATATAATTCAATCCCGAAAATAGAACAACAGAATTTTGTTTTATTTCCCATTTAACTAAACATTCATTTATATCATTACAGAAGAATATTTTAACGCTGTTCGTAAAAGAGAAACAAGTATTCTATGTATAAGTTCATTTGCTCAATGCAAGTTCAATATTTTGCACTTGATATTTTAAATTTAATAATTCAACAAAAGCATTAATATATCGCTTTAGAAAATCATTCGTAGATCTTAGATTTTTTTTCCTTTTTTGCCAAATGTGTTAAAAGGTGTCTTTTGATACAAAAACAAGATAGTCAATTCAAGAGAGAAAATAAAAGATTACAACAATTAACATTCAGGTAGTTCTCGACCATTGTGACGAATGTAGGTACTAATGAACAATAGTTTCGGACGATTTGTGGTAGAATAAAATCTATTATGATTGACTATCGATAAATCATTTCAACTCTCACAATATACTTTAGTTTTCACGATATTTAAAGCTAGCGTCAAACTGCGTGCTCTTTATGATTTGAAATTCACAATGCATCGAAATACCATTTCACTGGCGCGAAATGGCGCGAGAAACAACGAATGCGATTTCCAACAAATCTACCCATTCACACTATTAACGAATCACAACATATATAACATATGCACATACGTGTGATCTTTACAGAAATTTACAGCCTAATCTTTATCGAAATTCTGCACTGTACTTATTAATGCGCGCTCTGATTTAAAACTGCGTCCGATGTATTCTGATATATCGAAGTGACTCTACCAGTTCGATTTTACTGTTCACAGTTTGGCACATCTTTATACCTGATGCCAAATATTAGATCCTTTTTGAAAACTGGAGTTGGTTGATGGTGGGGGGAGGGACGTACGAATGACAAGTCCGTTTCGAAACCTTAAACGGAATCTGCGAATAGAAAATTTTGAAAAGATCCCGTTACTTTTCGTTTCTTCTCCGAAGCTCAGGTGAATAGCAAGCATATGAACCACTCGTAATAATTGTGATTCGCACGAGTAGATTATTTATGAAAGCTTGTTAATGAGAAGAACGAAAATGTATTAACTAACATAAATCAACTTTGTAACGTGCACGAGATAATGAAAATACGATCGCTGACTCGATTGGTCTAATTGTCGCAAACACGATAAAAAAAAAAATATGCGCATTGGTGTCGCGATCCTGCGACTCGACAGCCAGCGTCGTGTCACGTGCTAAACCGGAAGTAACAGTCCGCGGCGGAGTGGAGAAACGCGTGTCGGAAAGTCGGCTTAGCCGCATGAAACTTAACTCGGTGCTAAACGCTTAAATAAACTTCGAGACGCGTTTTTTATTCGGTCGAAAGAGGGGTGAAGAGGGGAGGGGGGAGGGGGTGCTACGGGGAGAGGAGCCGAGAGGCCGATGCGCCACGTAGGTAGGTATGTTTACACGGGGGCATTATGGCGGATAATGTTTGTTATAGGCGTTTGCTATATGCCGCGCAGCCGCGAGAAGCGAGACTATCCGACGTTAAAAGGCCAGCTTGGCCGATCCGCTTACGGCGGATGAGGCTTAAATTGAGTGAGAGATAGTGAACTTCCAGCGTGCAACGAGTGTACGACGCGCGAATGACGCGCGCGTGCGGCTGCTGCTCGCACATGTGCCGCTCGCGTGTGCGAATCGCGCGCTCGTTCGTAATCTAAGCGACAACAGCCTCGCGATAATTCCGAAATACTCGCGTTACGTCGAGCAAGAGAAAAACTGGTTGCGACCCGTCCGATAAGCAACCCCGCGCCATCGGGGAGTCACATCCTCCTACCCCCGACGTAAATAGGCGTATGCTATCTATCGGTTGACGCCGGCGGAAAACAACTTTTGTTGTACTTTCGCGCCCGTTGTCAGTCCTTTAGATTAGAGGGGGGGAGGGGAAGGAGGGGGGGGGAGGGGAGGGAGGGAGTTAACGATTTGTTCTAACAATTTTAAAGGGTATCGATAAGATTGAAATCGGCGCGCAATTGTAAGTGAAATGACAATTCGAAGGAACGACAATTATTTCAGCAGAATAATAATCGCTTAATCGCGTTATTGATTATGTTACAGTTGTCATGAGGGCATCGCGAATGCGGGACACCATTAGTGCACTCGGCTGTGTATCATGCATCGGTTACCAAAGCTTGCAGCATTTACCAAAAGTGCTTTTAACTCTGAAAATGGATTAGCGGATTCGCATCGATGTTTGTACTCACTTCCACGAATAATACCATTTAGAATCCAGTTTCTTTAGCATCCAGTGCCAATAACTTATTCCACGTTAATCCCATATCGTGTATTTCGGACAGAGTTATAATATAAGCAGTTTCTAACGCTAAGATATTATAGGGAACAATGAATTCGCGCCGCGAGAGAAATCTAAGGAATCGCGGAATTTGATTTAAGTTTCCGACCTGAATTATATAAACGTATGCGCAATTCCAACTTGTATACAGGGCTTATCGTGCGATTACGCAAGCCTCCGGTCTCATGGCGGGTCTACACATGTCATTGGCGCTACTATCTGGATGTCCAGCTGACGGGAAATACGCATCAGTTTGATCAAACGAGCGAATGAAGTGAATTCCATTTCAAAGTGAATCCCTATGTTTACAGATTACTAGCATGATTTATACATAATCTTCTATTGTCTTAATAATTAAAATCTCGAAGATCATATACGTATCGCGATAATCTTTATGATTATCTTTATTTCTTATCTAGAAAATAATACATCTAAATCTAAAAAAAAAAAAAATAGATAACCCGTTCGCTCATATTTTTATTTAAAGTTAAAAGTAATCAGAAAACTCTCAATTCTTAATCCTTAGCCTCCAAAAATATTTTCCAACTTGAAAAGGGTTAAACGGTTTACAATTAGTTTTTCACAGAATAATTTTATATAAAAGAGGAATAAATCATTATTAAATATTATTTCAATACGAGTGTAATACAATATAATTCCTTCGTAAAAATATTTCCCAATAATATTTTTTTTTCTCTATATATAAAATGAAGCTAAGAACGAAATAAATAAAGTAATGTTTAATTTTTTTCTCAGTGAGATATGCATTCGGCATATCTTATCATTTTTCATACTTCATCATCGAAACGTTATACTAGTCGCGCAAAAATCCATGATCGATAGATTCTTCGCGTACGCGATCCTCATGATTAGATGGCGCGATCGATATTCGATTTCGCTGGTTTATCGGTGTTACTTCCGCAAAAATCGTACCGACGACGTTAAACACCTCAAAGCTCGCGAAAGCCGATTAGCGTCGTCGCCGTCGAGACGATTTCGGTGAAACGCGAATACTACCGGAAAAACTTTGACATCCCTCCCCTCGCGAAGTGAGGGTGGGCGCGATTGTCCAGCGATTAAACGACATTCGAGGACGATTTCGCATTCTTTAAAAGTGCTCGAGTCATTACGCTCGTTTATGGGTTAATCCTTTCGCTGCAAAGGACGATCGCGGTACTCTAATATGTCGCCACAGCCGGTGTTTCCAAAATAATCCTCTCACGTTAATTGGATTGAAAAGAGCTGACGGCTGTGATTTCAGTAACCTTCCTCAAGGTAGTCGTAACATTAATCTCCGACGGCCTGTTAAATGTAACTTTTTTATTTCAACGCGCGGCGCGACCGTTTACGAATGTTAAATCATTTCTGCTTTCCGACGTGTCAGGTAAAAATTGACTATTATAATTGTAATTGATTTAGCATTTGTTAGGGAGAGTTCGAGAAAGATCAGTTATCTCCAGGCTACGAATTCAGTCTAGAATAATTCCATTCATATGATCTATTCAATTATTCATTTTATATATCCATTAAATATCCAAGATATAATTTCTTAATCAAGTTATTTATAAAGATGTCAAGAGCAATGTATTAAATATACAAAAACTAAGGAAACTCTTATAGTCTTTAAGGCTTCTAAATTCTAAGCAGTCGCAATGTGAATTATTTTCTAATA